AAAAAAAAAAAAAAAAAAAAAAAAAGAGGAAAGAAAAGTTCATTGGGAATATTTTTCTATGCGTGAGTCGCTTTCCTTTCGAACCGCTTTGTTGCAAAAAGAAACGTTGCATTTGTACTCTTTAAAGAATGTTATTAATTCTCGATAGATTCTTTTGAACTGCCACTTTTTGCAATCGTTCGCTATAATCAAACGTTCAAACGATAGAACAAATTAACAATAGTCGAGGGGAAATATAAGAAGAAGAAGAAGAAGAAAATTGATGTAAAACAAACGTTAAGAAATATGATAATATATTAAGGGGTGACGATGATAGATGTCAAAGAAAATCGATGGTAAAAATGAAACGATGAGGATGAAGAAATAATAATAATAATAATAATAATATTAATAATAATAACAATAATAAATAATAATAATTATTATAGTAATCGATTGCATTGCATTGATCGACAATAGAACAGAGTTAATTGTAGATAGAAAGAGCAAAAAGGAAAGGGAAAAAAAAAACACGAGCAATTGGTCATCATGAAACAAATTGTCTCGAACGTTTAAACTTGTTCTTCGCCAGATGTTTCTGCTTTTCACGCCTCTATTATATATACGTGAGATTTTCGAGTGCTGTGCGTTTTTCCATACGAATTTACACAACAACTACTAATAATAACCTGCAGAATTAATTGAGTCGCGATATTTTTTGTTTTTTTTTTTCTTCGATTTTCATTGAAGCTTCGCCTTGTTTTTTTTTTTTTTTTTTTTTTTTTTGTTTTTTTTTCTTTCAACTCGCAGGATTTAAAATTTCACAATGCTTGTTGAACAAGAGCAGAATAAGAAACGAGGTATACAGGATAAGAAAGGAAACGATACAAAGCGAGAAATTAAAAAAAAAGAAAAGAAAATAACACGTGGCTGTAAATATTTTATATAAAGAGAAGATATATATAGAGAAAGAGAGAGAGACAGAGAGAGAGAGAGATCTATCTATTATAGCGATACGCGTGGAAATTAGACGAAAAAGAGGCTTTTATTTTTGTCTAAAAAAATAAAAGATGGACGATAATCGAGATATAAGCGAGACGAGAATTTACAATCGGACAAGTTCAAAGAAGAAATCAGAAGAAAATATCCTGACGTGTTAGTGTCGATTTTAGTACATAGTATTTACCGATAAAGTATTAAATACTCGCGCCGATTGAATATCAATTTTCAATTGTTCAGCCCGCACTGTGTCTTTTTCTGCGTGAACGAACGGACGCTGAAACTTTTTGCAAAACTTTTCCGGTTTA